TTGTTGCATGATTTGTATTTAAGTATAGCTTTGTATTGCAAGTGAATCATTCAGTGATTACATAAAATGAACTTAAATACCGATCTGTTGGTCTTAAAATTATGTAAAATCAATTTTAATATTTGGTATAAATTTTTATGTGCATATTTTAGTGCATATTTCAGAAGTTTTTCATGCATAAATGCATACATATATAAGGGATTATTAGGGCATAAAAATCCAGTCCCTAGTTATTACAGACTAAAATCTTCTGTGGACAGCAGAAGTATATGCTGATTACAAATTATATTTAAGGTACCACCTCTGCATTTGATGTTAAAAGGGTATGCAAATCATCCCATCTATACATCAACCCATAGTCCATGACTGAATTAAGCACGAGCCAGTGGGTGGTTAGTGGGCAAAGTCGTAAGTTTGCTTGGCTTGGTCTTTTCTCTGCAATGTTTGATCATGTTAGTCATCAGGCACAAGGACCACCTGAGATGGAAACCCTGATCCCTGTTCAAGTTTCTGGGGTGAAGCCTTATCTTGACAGCTGCCTTTATCAAGCAATCTATCTATCCTGTTGCTTTATCTAGTATGGTGGTGCTACTAAAGTCAATATTATGCTCTGTCACTATTAATTCCTCTGGCTAGTTCAAGCATGTGTGTATCATGTGCTCCTTATACCTGATCTCAATGTCCATTCATCTGTTGAAGATACACCTTGCCATACCCGCATGAGATGCAATATACACCTTAGACTTCATGCCTAGTTTTGTCTCTTACAGATCTATGAATACAGATATTTTTCTTCACAGGTATGTGAATTGTTTTAATGTTGCATTTAGTAAAAAGCCCACTGATTTTGTTGGAAACAGCTTGTTGATGTGGTATCATCTCTACGCCTAAACCTGCTGGCTTCTCCTTCTATGAAGAAGGGAATGCATGACATCATGGTTGCTGTATCCATCATGCCTGAAGGTCTATTTCAGGTGGATGATGTCTGTGTCTGGGCTATCACGATCACATATGGTCTTGGCCCACTGAATGAGTGTGTTTAGTACAACTTACATCTGTGACAGATGGTGTTCAGACTTTGCAAGAAAATAGAAATTTATATACATGGGTCTCCTCTACACAGTATTTTCCAGTAAGCCATTTTCTCTTCTGCTTACCATGACATCTACGAAAGATAGTGCCTTGTTCTGCTCCACATCCATAGTGAACTTCATGTTAAGGCAGATGGTGTTAATTTGTCAAAGGAAACCCTGAAGCAGGTAATGTATCATGCATATACATATACTATCCTGACAGCTTCTTGGCTGCCTAGCTGAAGTCCTGTTGTACGATTATTCCACATGAAGGTTGTCCATTATAGACAAAGGGGCAATCCCATGGCTATACCATTTGTTTGGTCACAGAACAAACTGTTGTAAAGAAAATATGTTGTGGTGATGACCCATCTGATGAGGGTTAAGATCTGCTTGTGGAAGTGTTTAATATCTTAACAGCATCCCTCCCTACACCAAATTCAGTATGGGAGTTGAGCAGAACCAGAAACTATATCTCTGAAGACAGGATGGCTCACTGGGACATATTGTACAGAGGAACCTATGTATACAGAGACCTCTGGCTTCACACGAAGTCTGAACACCATCAATCACAGAAGTCTTCAGTACCAAACAGTCTCATTCAATGGGCCAACACCAAATTAAATAAAGTGTGAGTGTTTATAAGTTTTTCGTGGGTTTTGTTAGTTGCCTTGTTGGAACTAAGGCCCACTTACCAGCCCTCTGATAGTCTCATGTTCCCCGATTGGGTAGTGCCCAAGACAACTACTACAAAGGTGAGGCTACATCATCGCCTGCCTCCTCTGAGTCACTAAAAAGCGATTCACAGCAAGCAGCTGCGTCTACCTTAACTTTTCTGTGAGCAGCTATGCCCACCTTAACTCCTCACCAGCGAGACGCTGCGGCCACCTTTACCCCACAGAGACCAAGAGAGATTTTTTGACTACAAGTGGCGACTAACGCGTGGCTCCCGCTCCCCATAAACCAACTGCTGCATTACATTCTGACAAAAAGGTTTGAACTGTGTCACAGCCATAAGCTTTGTGCTAGGAATTATGACCCTCATAGGTATGAATACTGATCCAGCTTTATTAATTATCATCATCACAGGCAAAACAGCCCTTTTAGAGCCACGGCCTTCTTTAAAAGATTCTACCAGATTTGTCATCTGTTTTTAACTTCTTTAGATTTCACAATAATTTTTTCCACAGAATAAGGTCATCGGCCTTGCATCAAACACCCAACCTAGAGGATTAAGTCTCTGTATTTATGTCACCCAGTCACAGGGTGGCCCAGTTATTAGCCCCCACCCCCCAACATCAAGTTCCCTTTGTCGCCTTCTACAACTCGCAGGGTTATGGTGGAGATATTCTAATCTGCCTCCACATGGCATTTTATTGGGTAACCCCAAATTGGAAAGAAAAGCGGGGTTAGCTCCAAATGCAAAATCTCCCCCCCCCCGGTATGTAACATCTAACCTTAGGTTAGACTGGGTTAACTTGGTTACATTATTGTACACCATGTAATCAAAATCTGTGCCTTTTGCCTCTTTAACCTCCCATTTTCACGCAGTCCTTTTCATTATCAACATACAGGTAACCTACAGCCGATCCGTTTTCCCCATAACATAATACAACCAAACTCCTTGATTTTAGCCCGCAATCGAACAATAGTATAATATAGCATAGCACAGCATATACCATAGTATAGTAGGTATAGTATAATACATACAGAGTAAATGTGGGCTCTCTCCTTGCTGGAATATGTAGCCTGCTTCTGTCACAACTTCTTCAAAGTATGAGCCAAAGCATCTAATACGGTTCAAATTTTTAGAAATATGATCATCAGTTCCATTCCTTTGTTGTGAAGATGTCACTGACGATAGCTGTAATGGTAAACTGTTCCGTCCACGGTCATTTTCATTTCCAGATTGATATTTCGGAGTGGAGGTTGTCACATGTGACGGAGTTGTGTTTCTAGGCGTTCTGGGCTTTCTCTTGTACATAATTAGAAAAACACTTTTATAAACTATAGAATCAGCAGTAGGTCCACAGGATCATACAGGTCGCCCTGCTTAATAAATACCACTTCAGCAGTTACAATATAATTACAATAACCACAGAACACCTACACAAACAACGCCGAACAAATTTACAACCGGCCTTTACGACTTTACGACCTTTACCACCAATACCACCAACACAACACCGACAAACACCACAATCACCTCTAATCTACAAATCTACAAGTCGCGAAACCCGCGAAAACGTGATACTGCTGCAACGGCTGCAACTGACATAGCACCTATGGAAACATGCGCAGTCGTCACTTGCGCATATCACTACTGCCATCTATATTCAGATGCACTCGCATTTTATGTATCATGATATTTAACTGCACCAATCAGATTGATTTCATTTCCGTTGGTGGATAAATTGTGCTTAGATATCTGCAGATATAATGGTATGTTATTTGCTAATTGATAAGTATGGATTTTGATTTGATGTCGTTTTCCAAGGAATTATCACGGTATGTCTATTTTAATCCGGTCTAGAAAATCGAGACTAACGGCCGTGGGGTTCCGGTGCGCTGACCACCTGACACCCTCTACCCGCAAAAGTTGGCACTAACTTCCCCGACAAGCGGCGGTCGCTCGGTCGGTATAGTGCTCCTACGGACTACAGGCCGAAGAGTTTGTTTTTTTATGTAATTTTAATATAAGATGTAATTCATTTTGTATATGTCTCTTAATCCAACGAAGAAACTAAGTTTAGCCTATGCCTGCATTAAATTTATTTAACGTAACCCCAAAATTTAGCACATGCCCCATGCTTTTAATGTTTACTGATGAATTATTTATAGGTTTTGAGGCAATACATTCTTCTCTTACAGGGCTCTGGTATGGACAAAAAAAGTCGAACTCTCCTTTACTATTGATTCTGCTATAATGCTGCACAATAAATATTTGTGCAGCAGACATTTCTTGGGGTGATTTTCCTACAGTTGAATGGGTACACCTCAACAGAGTGGCAGTTCTAAGTGTCTCTGATACTGCTTCACATTCACTCCCACAACCTCATGTTTCTTCGTTACATACCCCTTCCTTGGATTTTTTACACTCAGCTATAGTTCACAAATACTATATTCGTGTCGCACTTCCCACCAGAACCTACAGCAAGACACTGCTGCCCTCCGCTATAACACCTATAACACTTATTCCTACCCATGCAGACGATCCTTGAACTTACGTTCACCTGTCTGCAGTGCAGCCAACACCTGTGCACGGATCGAAACATAGGAAAAACGAATACAATGCAAATCTAATTGAAAAACCGCTGCCAAGACCAATAAAACAAAAATTACACAGACCCCAAGCACCACAAGACAAAGTGGGCCACTTTGCTTATTGCGAAAATGAAGCAAGGCAAATAACAAAACTGTTCAAAAACACGTAAATAAAAGCAGCCTTTCGGATTCAAAACACGATAAAATCCAACTAAACGTTACACACAGACTCAGGTTTCATTTTAATTATTGTATTGGGGTTCTACTCAGGTCTGTCTGGACGATGTAAATTTTCAGTCTATGAGTAGTTTCGCTATTGCCTAGTAGGTTCATTGCTAGTGCATTAGTGTGGTTTCCTAAGCTTCGTTAAGTATTTGGTATGCTGGGAAATTGTGGAGTAACTGTAGAATTGGAGGCTCCTCCAAGACTCAGCTCCATGAGTAAGAGTAAGTAGGCAAGTATTTGGTATTCCACTTTTTTATTTCACTGAGCACTGTGTTGATTTGTAGACCTTCATGAAACCTGTGGTTATTTATATACCAAGGTGCGTTCAGAATGGAACCGGAGAGTCTTGAATCGAAAGCGCTAGAGAATTTCAATGTTTGAATTTGAGGCTGCACCCCACAATTGAATTCCATAGGTCCATATGAGTTTCAGTACTGCTTGGCACAGGAGGAGTTAGCTTTATGTTTTTAGCGTTGATTTTCCGAGTAGCCAGTGCACTAATTTCGCTTTTTAGTTAAACTTTCTCTTTGTACTGATGTGCTTTACCCATGCCAGTCTTCTATTGAGATCTATGTCCACGCATTTCACGTTATTTTCCTTGGGTAGATCAACAATGCTCGTTTTCACTGACGGACAGATTTCGTTGCGTAGGGTGAGAGTAATGTGAGTGGATTTGCTTTAATTTATTTTAATTATCAATTTCTTCTCCCAATCGTCTTTATTATTGATGGTGGTTTGGAGTTGCATTGTGGCTTTCACTGGATCTTCATGTGTGGCTAAGATTTCTGAACCATCAGTGATGGTAGCAGGTGTTGATCTGTCTGATGTCGGGAGGTCGCTTGTATAGATAAAATATATAGGACAGGTCCTTCAGTTTTCCTTAAGGTGTTGAATTGGTTTCTAATTTTATTTGAAAGAGTCTATTAGTGAGATGTAATTATAATATTTTGTAATAGGTATGGGGGAGAATTATTCTTACTTTGAACAAGTGGCAAGGGTACCATAATTTATCAGACGTTTGTGCGATGCTTGTGAATGCGGCAAAAGCAGTATGTTTTTTTTTCTACAGCTCCTCTTATTAACTCTGCAATTCGATGTACTTGCCCTATGGTATTGTTATAACTCCTAAACAGCAAGCAATGGACCAAAGCGTATTTCATTTTTGAGAAGATCGTATTTATTGACCTATTCCACTTGCAATATGTTCCGATCCAACTCTTACGATTTAGCCATGGTAGGCGGTTGGAAAGTCTGTCAAATTGGGAAAATTATTACATGTTTTGGGTAATTGTTTAAACAATCTACAATTTTATTTTGGGAATAAAATAAACATAATTTTTGGATAGAGCAGTCTTTAGTCTTTCATTTTTATATAGAACGTGTAATATAAGATACACCATAAATCTTGAGTTATCAGCGATTACGTAAGAGGCTGCACAAATGTTACGCTAAGTGTTACTTACGGCGTCATTGTTACACATTGTTACTTACGGCTTCATTCCAGCGGACGTCATATCAGTGCGTCACGTGATACGCTTCCAGCTTGCCTATAGTATTGCGTCATCCACCAAACAGTGGAAGTGAATTAGCCATATCGCTCGCATTCATTAATGTAGTGTACCGCACAGTGTAGAACACACCGTACACACCGAACGTGTGTACGCCCAGACAAGAAACATACGCCACATTGCAAGTTTTATATATAGGATACATAGCGTGGCAATACCATACCAAATACCCACACACCATCAAACTTGTAAATCATTGAAAATGTGTCTTTGGACCTCATATGCCGGGCTTATTACCTAGAATTTCTGCAACAAGACGTATGCAACATACACGCCCAATTCTACACTGTAGCAGGATATCACTTTAAAATAAATTATTTCAGTTGGCATACAGATCCCTAACACTACATATATTTTTAATACTTTTAGTGTACTTTTAACATACCTTTAATATGTTTTAATAATATTTCAACATTTTATGTACAATCTTTATTCTATCTTTATTTTTATTCTTAATCATGTATTTGCTATTTTAATTATACACTAATCTGAGGCAAAGGTTTAATGTTAATATTTAATACGACGCGTTGCACCAATAAGGATCCGTATCGGTATTTCAATAACTATACGTATTCCTTCCTGATGATGGTCATGTATGGTCGAAACATGTTGCAGTAATAAAGATCTAAATGTAATACTGAAATATTTGTTGTGTTGACGGTAGCATAGTTCCTACATATTATACGGATAATTAATAATTATCTGAGACATACAACAAGATGCAACCAATGAAAAAAGTATGTATATTGGTTAATAAAATTGCACAGAAATTGTTCCTTACCGTTCATTATTTGTTTTACGGATACTGCCAAGCTTCTGAAAAAGATCGTTTCTGCAGTTTCAATACAAAACATGTTTTATAGTAATCACAACAGATAGTCAATTGTTTTGGTTGCTACGTATTAACTAGATGTTACCTGGTAACGAATTTTAACAATGAAAATAACGGTGAATGTGTTTCTACGCAGTATACGTTGCTACATCGAAGAGGGTGTTATAATTATTTTTATCCACTTCTTGCTCATCTCTTGTTATTGCGTTTCTACGAATAAATGTAAAAGTTCTCTTTTATATTCATAATTTGTCCCTTTCTAGCATGGTCGATTTTCCGTAATATCTTCTATTCGGTCATGTTCTCCCATTATACTTGTTACACTGCAATGATATGTGTAAAACTGTTCTATGATTTTTGCATATTTTGACATGACGCATTAAAGTCGTAACAATGGCTTCAGAAAAGATGTCCGACGCATTAAAGTCGTAACAATGGATCCAGAAAAGACGTCCGTTGCTAGGCAATAGTTTAGTAAACACGTTGTCAAGGAAATGACTACGCACACATCAATAAACGAATTCCTCGATACCGTGATTGATATGAGGGATGTGCCGGTATATAAGGACGACTAGTGAACTTTCATTGTTGTGATTCGTTACCAAGTAACGTCTAGTTAATAATCACCAACCGAAACAATTGGCTATTTGTTGTGTTCAGTATGAAAGAGGTTTTGTGTCTTTCGTGAGTTCAGAACAATATAATTGTCTACAGACTGAGTACTTCTTGATATTTAGAGTCGAACTTTGAGAGTGCAGAGAACGCTAGGTTCAGATTCAAGTGAACGGATAACAGCAGAAGCAGCAAAAGGAATAATCATTGCTAGAACGTGATAACACGTGATAGGACTGATAATTATCATTTTGCATCATCATTATGAATAAAGCTCTTGTGTGTATTTTATTCGGAGTTTTGGTGTGTTTGCAGCAGCAACTTGCTGAATCGCGCCATATCACCAATTGGAGTCGAAAAGAAAACAGGTAAAGATAAGAATTTAAACAAAATCATTCGATTAGTTTTATATTTGCTTCCTAAATTGATTATTATTAATAACTGTTTGTTTTAAGAATAATGATAATACATACAAGTTACAAGCTTATGGAATGCACGCTGCTGGATGCATTAAGTTTTATCTAAAGTTGCTCTTAAATCATTTCCTAAAGTGCAAATGAAGTCGGTACAAGACATTATATTTGTCGTAATTATGAAGTAAGACGGTCGTTATGTGATCAAATTCCTGCTGCATTTTTAAGAATGAAAATGAATATATTCTTTTTAGGCAAGAAAGTAATGTTGGAAATATTTCCGCTTTATACTCGTGCTTATCTTTTACGTTGCTCATAGTTAAGTTCAGCCAAGTGGGGCAACATCATGTATTATTATGTCATATCATGTGTTCATTTGTCTGAAAATCATGATCATACGGCGTTATTCTTGATTATCTTCCCTAGAGTAATACAACTTTTAGCCTAGATTTTGTACTTTAAGCAATCAATAGTATGTTTATGAGATCATCTTGCTGTCTTTGTGTCTGTATTTGCATTCCCCTTATCGTTTCTAGGCTATGGCTCAGTAAACATGTTCCCTCGGCAACAATACACACAACTATAGAATATTTTTTGGATCCGTGTATTCTATACGGACCGTGTCCTATCAATAAAACAGACTATTAGTTCTTCCCAAAACTTCTGTTTCTTGCTATTTTTGCCGAAAATAACTGAACACAAATGATAGCATTTCAAAATTGTAACAAACTTATCGATATATTCATAAATAGAGATATATAACGGATTTTAAGAATATAATGACTGCGTTTTAAAATAGGAAATAACTTTACTTTGACATTGAAAATAATGCGTACAAGGGAAAAAAGTAGCACCTATTACATAAAGGTGTTATGGAATATCACTCATAAAAACATCATTGCAGAGGCAAAGAAATGTATCTCTGTACCTGAAGTTTTCAATTTAAATGCGCTTCACCGCACCAATAACTACTAGTATGAGCTGTAATTAAATTTCTGCCTGTGAATTGTGTCATCGCGTGCTCTTGGAAGTAGATGCCAACCTTTCGGAGGACCACGCTGCTTCCATCATTATGTTTGAATACTGATTAGGGTTAGGGATGAGTTCAGGCTATGTAGGCACTTCAATCTTAATGACAAAGGCCCGTGTTCTTCCGCTTCAAGGACTACATGCTATTACAACCAAGAAGTACACAATCTAATTGGACAATCACTGCTGTAAGAAACCTTATAAATTTAAACAAAATCTTGCTTACATTCTTAATATGACCTCTTCTAATGCCACTCTTCAAATATTATATATTCAGAAAAGTTCAGACTCTTAAAAATAGAAGTATTAATCTTGTAACATGACGCCTGAACCCCGGAGGCAGCCGTTCCTAGGTAACGGCACGGTAAAAACTTTTCCGCGGCAATGGGTACGCACGAAACAATACAGGAACCTTTGGAAACGGTGCGGTCACCATGTCCCATGTATCTGCAATAATTACCCTCGTAGACGCAAAAAAAAATAAATAAATAAATAATAAATAACAATCAAAGCACTGAAAAATCTAAAATATATGATTTTACCGATCTGGCATATTATGATAAATTATTTCTAAGCAAAGATGCAAATATTTTTGCATTATTAGAGCTGAGGTTTCACAGTGTTGAGCATCAAGATATGGTCTTTCGGGATGTCACACTGTCCCTTCGGTGTAAAAGATGGAGATAGCATCTTCCTCCAAAATGTTGATACACAACTGCAAGTCAACTCTGCCCCACATTCCATAGGAAAGTACTTTTTAAGTTTAGATAAATAATTCTGACCGTATGTTTGACCACACTTTACTATTATCACCTCATTGCTACTGTTCCCTCAACAGCTACACAGTGTGACAGTTAAGTTCCCGAACTGAGGCCATAAGAAACCACACAAAAAGATAAATAATCATTAACACCATTACTCAATATATTCCCCGCCCGCCTCCGCCCGAAGTTTACATCGCTTATACGTACAACTAATCAAATGCCGAGAAAACGCTTCTTTCCGTATTGATGTTTTCGATCCAGCGTTAACGACGAGGAACAAAATGAGCACACATTTTTTCTTTATCAAATATTCGACTAATATCTTATGTACTGTCTCTTCATTGATCCCTGACATTTCTTTTAACATAAAAACACTTAAAGTTCAATCTTCGGCCAAACGCTTTTGAATAACTGCCGTCGATTCTTCTGTTCTAGAATTTGAAGGACGGCCTTTCCGTTCATGGTCATATAACGACTCTCACACTTCTTTGAACGCTTTATAGCAATCAATCACACACGCTTTCTATAAACATTCTTCACCGTACGCACTTTTCAACATTTCAAACGCTGCATTACCTGCTTTCTTTAATTTTACACAAAACAAAATCAATATTCTTTGTTCCACTTAAAAACTTTTGACAAGACGAAAAGACTAACTTTAACAAAACAATTGTAATCTTCATAGGCATCAACCAAACAAGTTGAAACTCGCACATCGTATATAGAACATTCTCTCTACCTAGTCCCGTTCATCCACGAGAAGTGGCATTAGTAGTATTACTGTAATAGCATCAGTTCTGGAACTTAATTGTCACACTGTGTATTAATCAGGAAAAATATAAGTATACATATGTGATCATGCTGTTTCTCTTCTTAGGGCACCAGCATCTTATCGATCCCATGCAGATCATTCTGGGCATGAATATGAAGTTAGAAGGCAAGTTGGCGTTAAACAGATGAATAATGAATACACACCTAATGAACAGTATGGTCATTTGAAGTCAGAATCTGCAGTTGCTGAACGAGAAGAAGAGTTAGAGAATCCAGAGGAAATCCCAGCTTCGTCGCTTTATAAAATACCTTGGCAAAAAAAAGTGCCAAAAAAATATCCAGAGAGTAAACAAAAACAAGATCCTAATCCCTCTTATCGTACTCAGTTTCCTTCTGGCACATCCCAGAAGTTACAAGAACCTATAAATAGACTAGGAATTCTTGGTGCTAGATCACATTCAAGAATAAGAAAGGCCCCATTTCACTCTACTAACGCCTTGAAAGTAGAAAGAAACGTTCCCAACCAGAAAGAAATTACATATAAAGGGGAAGGGAATCCATCAAAATGGAAACCTATTCGTGGTCATAAAATTGTTGGCGATTACAAATCACGAAATGAGAAAAAGACTTACAATCCACTGAATTCTGAAGAAGATACTCTTACCTACAAAATGAGGCGACAAGACGCTGAAGAAGAAGAAGAATCAGATCATTATATACCCATGCATAATGAAGATGGTGAAGATGGTGATGAAGAGAACCAAGTACCGTATTCTGCAAGGATAAATAATGATGCAAGAAGTTACAGACGTGGTAGCAGCTCTAGGTATTCTGAAAATGAGATAGATGACAATGAGAGAACAGAAAACATTATTCAATCTCGAATCGAGCACCTGAAGGACAGCGTAAGAAGAGAGCTGGCCAGGGAATTCTGATTGAAACCAAAAGGCTAGAGCCCTATCATACGGCAATGTTGCAGATGGTGATATTAAATGGATTCAGTTAGGGAAGTTTAGGAAGTCTTGACAGTATGAATATAAGGTAAAGATGTGCTAGAAATATTTGTTTATAGTAAAACAATACACAGTGAAGTCAGCGCAAAACTAAAATAAGTATTATTCAGTAATGAAATATGTTACAAGACTGAGCTTATCGATTTTCATATACGTGTAAGTCTGAATTTTGTATATGAATATAAATGTTTTTCTCAATTTTAAACATTTTTAAGTTGAACTTTATGTTTGCATATTGAATTTTGTTTTGAATAGAGTTAGTAAAAACGCGTTGTGGATGGTAAAATTATATACAACTTATTAAATGTGTAATTTCTAATAAATATATTGTGTTCCACTGCATCCCTTCTGTTCTAAGAATGTCGCATAGAACTTATGCTCTTGGAACCACGGCCCGTGAAATCTCTCTAATACAAGGTTATTCATAAGTCCGTGAAACATTTTGAAAATTTACAATAAATAAATTACGCAACGGATACCAAATTATATTATGCTGAAATAGAGATAAACTCACGAAGTTTTTTTTTTTTTCTTTCTTTTTTACGTAGTTCACTGGTGCTCAATGTGTCCAGCTTTGCTGATACGGCAGACATATATGCGATAATCCATTTCCTCCCACACTCGTGTCAGCATATCACGATTGATCAGAGCCACAACAGCGGTGGTACGGTTGTGAAGATCCCTGAGATTAGAAGGCAATTGAGATTTTTAAAAATACGTGGGTAGATTAATTCTCTATCGGCGTAAGTATTACCATGATCCGATGCATAGTTCATTTGTTGTGAATTTTTAAAATGTTTCACGGACTTATGAATAACCCTGTATTTAGCACACACTTCTTGATCATTTCCCGTCATCAAGTTTAGTTCTATTACTAAAAACATAACAGTCTTTCTGATAGTTTCCGGTAATGTTCTGAGATACCTTGTTCATTGCCATTATCCCCTGCTTTTTAATGGTCGGGTTCCATAGCTGTTTCCTGCAGCTATTCATTAATCCATGCTTTAATAATATATACCACAAAATTTGTAATATCATTAGTTTGATATTTCGTAAAATATTTTCTTTATAAATTATGTAATAAATTAGGGCCATTCGCGGAAATACGCTGAAGCGTTTCTATTCCCGATATTTTGCAGTTCTCTTTTCATCAGTATACACGTATGTACATAACATCATATTTGACTTGTAAATTCCACTATAAGATTATTATAATATTGAACTATAGTAGGCTTTGCGGTATTTCTTTCCTGGCCTTATCTAACCCATATTCGTTCAAAGTTCTCTCTACACTGCGTGGAGAACAACAGAACTGGGGCATGTTTAAACTTTTTCTCCCACAGCTAATTTGAAAACTGAACCAGCTCTGAAATTTTTCTTTACAATTAGAAATTTGTTCCGGAATGCCTATAGTAGGAATTTTCTGTTTCCACGAATGGTCCTAACTGCAAATGTTTCAGGTGTGGGGACCTCCCACATTCTATCACACAACTTCGCCAGTCTAACCGACAACAGACAACCCCCACCTCCCACAACGTAACGGGACGTGGCGACATTTATACATCGCATTTTGCAGCCTGGCTCTCTAGACGCTCTAGACACTAACACAAGCGTTATTCAATCAGTGCCCACAATCGCAGCTCCATCGCCAACTAGTCCGCGCGCCGCCTAGCGGCATAAGTATGAAGCTGCAGGCCTCGAACACGCCAGCAGGTGTGGATATACTGCCAGAGCCACTACAAACTACAATCACCGCACCGACTGCACCGACGGCACCGACTCTGCCACTGCTCGCGCTGTCGACAGCCTACTCTTCCGGCGCACGCATTGTGGCCCCGCTAGCCAGACTCGCTACCGGTCGAAGAGTTGTGACGGTTGTGACGGTTGTGACCGTTGAGGAAGAATGAGTTGTAGTCAGTAGGTGGCTGGTGTTATTGTGTTACCCATTTCAGATCAATTTTAGTCATTCATAAACGATATGCAGTACCCAAAATGCAGTGGAAATTCTTCTGTCGATCCACATCACGTGGATTTGATGAAACTTGCCGATCTCGCCGGATTATCGGTGAAACCGCAAATTCTAAGGTTAGTACTCTGTGGACTTCGAAATGTGTGTTTTGTATCCAGACTTTTGACATACATTAGCGGTGTTAGAAAATTCAGTTTCTTGTATGTAATCTGTGAGATTTAGATCACGGTAGTAGATGAGATTCCGAAAGTAACCACTTATCAGGATCATGCATCAGTCGTAAGGGGAAAAAGTACCAAAGAATTCTAACCTACCAATCTTTCAAACCTAATACAAAAATTAGACAAACACTACCTGTCCAACTATACATTATATATTGTTTCTGATGGTGCCTCAAGTCACTATGGCCTGTATGATTTATTAACGTATTGTTGCCTTATTTAAATCAGAAAATCTGTAGAGATGCAAAGAAGTGGATCAATTTCTGATGGATCCCATTACTTGATAGCTATCATGGCAGCCGCTGGGAGTGTTAAGTGCAAGTACGCTGTAAGAAATATGGAAAACTTTAAGGAAAATGTTAATTCACCATGCTTGTGCTGTGTAAAATTAAATGACAAATTGCAGAGGGCTGTAAGTGAATTGAAATTGGTGGTGGAAATAGTGAAATTTTTAAAAGCTCAAGAGCAATTATTCTATAGGGTAGACAATATTGAGTATACACCTGTTAAAAAGATAAATACAGTGACTAATGCAAATAGTGATGCATCTTATTTATCAGACTGGAAAATTGTTTCTCAGTATAAAAGACATGCAAAAATTGACCATATTCACATACAGAATTTAAGATTCCAACAGTGGTAAATCATTATGCAGTTTTAGAGAACCTAAAAGAAGAAAACTTAGCACCTTATTAACATAACATCAAATGAAAACTAAAGGTTAAGCAATTACAGACAAAGACTCTATCTGCAGCTAATATAGTCATGATATTTTGTGATAGCCATGCAAGAGGATGTACTGCAAACTTGTTACAAGAATGCGGTAAATATTTTGAGGTTATGGGAATGTGATGCTTGGTGCAGGACTCCTGAATTTAACACAAGCCGCCAACAAGGAAATCAGTGGATTCAATTGTAAGGATCATGTTGTCATCTGGGGGTGGATCAAACAATATTAATAAAAATGAGTCCTCCACAAAGGTTTAAAACTTGTCACAAATTTTGCCCTACAGCACCAACATACTAATATTATACTTGTTCCTGCTCTGCATAGACATGATCTGGAAAAGTCTTCTTGTATTAACAATTAAATTAAGACTTTTAACAGAAAATTAGGCAAAATGACCAATATTATGTTGCACATAAAATTGCTTAACCTATATTTGGATAAAAAAAAATTACCCATCATGGGATGCATTTGAATATATATATAACTGAACAGCTAAATAGACAGGATAATATCTTTATGCTACCATGGACTAAGGACAATAAGCATCCCATTTCTTTGATGGAAACTGAGGTCTCTGACAGTGTATGGTCAACAGAATTAATGTTAAATAAAGTGAGAGTATCTGAAAGATTTAAAAAACCACCTGTAACAAGATCTAAACCAAAAATTGGGAATGAGAGTTTACACAAAATTAGTAATGATAATGGAGTTAGAGTAGTAAACTTTGCCACACCCAAAAATCTTACTGTCAAAAGTACAATGTTCCCACATTGTAACATTCATAAATCTATTTGGACACATCCTGATGGGATAACACACAACCAAACTGACCATATGTTGCTAGGAAATGGCATGGTAAAGCCAGAAGGAAAGAGACTACTAGGAAGACCAAGACATAGGTGGGTGGATAATAATAAAATGGATCTTAGAGGGATGGGATGGGCTGGAGTCGATTGATCTGGCTCAGGATAGGGACCAGCGGAGGGCTCCTGTGAACACGGTAATGAACCTTCGGGATCCATAAAATGCTGGGAAGTTCATGAGTAGCTGCACAATTGGCGGCTTCTCAAGAAGGGCTCAACTCCATACTTAATACTAGAAATGCAAAAATACCTCTTAAAGAATGAAGAGCAAGTTACTTTAAAGTGGTAATTTTTCTTTGTGTGTGTGTGTGTGTGTGTGTGTGTGCAATTAGAGTGATGTGGCTTTCTTCTTTGAATGACAGTTCCACCAACTATAAAATTATACCAGACAAGTGCTCTGTTGTAGCCAAAATAACAAGAGAAAGAAGCATGTTGTATGTATGATAAATTAAAAATCACACACACAAACATGATAATGATGAAAGTTGTTTTAAATATTTCAGTATTCTGATAGAAATGCTGGGAATGAATATTCATCCAAGTTCTCTGCATTCCTTGCTAAAGGATATCAGCAATTGCCACGGGAAGGAAAGAATATCACGGACAGATGCCAGACCAAAATCAAAACGGCCATCACAAAAACCTACAGATGGTAAAAGCAAAACCTGATCTGGGATATATCAATGGAAGGGCTATAAATTTAACAGTCATGCATAAATATGTACAGAGATCTTGGATTTATTTGTTTAGATACAAGGAAAAATATACAACAAAGACTGAGTGCACTAAATCACATAGGGAGGACAGAATATTTAAGTACAATTAATTTAAATCCAAAACTGAATTTAAATGTAAACTGTACATATTATATATCCCATGTATTTTATCACCCTAAATCAAGGCACCTTTAATTAAAATACACTTGTAAGTATTGACATTTTGTACTTGAAATATTTTGCACAGTTCTGGAGAATGCTCTGAAAGAGGGACTAATTATGAGGGTGCACAATTAATAATAAAATGCATTGAGCTTTTCTTTCAATATGTGTTTCACTGTTTCCTACGAGGTTTTCCAGTTGATGTTCACAACAAAATATCAATATAAACAAATGACAAAAATTAGTTATAAAAAGTTAGTATTTTTAACATAACAGTTTTTGTTTCAATCATATATTAAAAGAAACACTAAGATATATATATATATAAATTAATTAAATTACAATCACGTACGTTTCATAAAATCCGTATAGACTTGCAGTGAACATTTCTCATTGTCTCTCTTAAGATTTTTGATTGAGTGACAATGCATGTCATGGACTCCACAAGAGTTGACCAGATTGTTTTGGTATAGGCAGCATAGTAACTTATACACAATTACACTTAGAAAATATGTCAGAGTTATTCTTTACATTTTATACAAGAAATTTTAAAACAAATTTATCATATAACTCAATCTCTTGTGCGCTTAAGCAAACTGTTTTGTCCACACAATAAGATTATGAATCATCACAGACCTAAGACTGGTTGATATTCAAGGACATTTTGTTATAAAACATTAGTGGGGACATCACTATTTACTAGTCAGTTTAACAAAATAGTTACAAGCATAATGCAGCACTGAGCACCTGAAGAGTAACACATTAAATTTCATCAGTATGCTTAACTAAACGACTAGCTTTCCACACATAGCTGTTTGCAGTCATGCAGATGGTGCCTCGCCTAAATGTAACAAAGACCATCACTTGATGACTATACCTTCCAAACCTAAAATAACTTGTCCTAAACAACGTCATACAGTGGTATTTTATATAATATAGCCTACAAAAGTGTGATGGTAACATAGCCATTGTTAGAAGTCTATAGTAATTCTGTATTATTTACGCTTTAGCGCTAAAGTTTGTAACACAATGTCTATATGAAAACCAGTTTCACAGTACAGCTACTGTATGAATCTTGTTTCTGACTGATGGCACTACACAGAAGCAGAGAAACTGTCATCCTCAGTTTCTCATAGGCTGGTGTGAACTGCCCCATTTGACATCATGAGATAAATGGGTAGCATGTCTGGAACAGTGCAGCCAACAAGAAAACAAAAGTGGAAGAGGAAGTGGGGGTCTAAAAATGATCCACCCCTTTCTAGGGCAATCTAAAACCTCCTAAGCCTACCCCCTTTACCTTCTTTTCTATTACTGCTTTCCCGTCATTCCAGACATCTTAGTTATTTCATCTTCCTTTGGAGTGAGTCCAGCCATTAAAGGTGTATTTTGGAATGGCAATAAGGAATTAAATTATTTAGAAAGAAATTATGAGTAGATTTAAGGAATACCTGATGCCCATCAGTTTAGTATCTTTGTTTTCTGTTCTGCTATCTAAAAATGTAAGGATTAAAATATATAAAAACTTCAATTCTCCCTGTATTTTGTAAAGTTGTGAAACATAATCTTTTACGTTAGGGAAGGAACACAGAATGAGGATGTTTAAGAATACTTGGACCTAAGAAAGAAGAGACAAGAGGCTGGATAAAACTATATAATGAAGAGTTTCATAATCTGCACTTTTCAAGAAACATAATTAGGATGATCAGATAAAGATGGATGAGACAGTTAGGGCATGTAACACATTTGAAACCATAAATGAATACAGACTGAACGGAAGAGACCTACTGAAGACCCAAGCATAGATCAGAGGTTTACATTAAAATGGATGTTGAAGAAACAGGGTGGAAATGTGTAGACTGGCTTTATCTGGCCCAGGCTAAGGGCCTGTGGTAGGTAATGAATCACTGGGTGCCATGAAATATGGAGGAATTATCCAGAGGGATTAGATTGGCATGGCATGCAGTATGCATGGCTGACATGAGAAATGCATATAAAATGTTGATCATGATACTGAGGGGAACAGGCCACTTGGAAGACCTAGTCCTATATGGGAAGATAATATTGAAATGGATCTTAAAGATACTTGATTTTGGATTGTGGACTGGATTAAAATTTGTCAGGATAGGGAAGAGACTCTGCACTGTGAAGCTATTTTTTCCTGACCTACTTTCCACTGCCTGTCACTCAACAAATCAAATAGAGTAGGCTCAGCTTGCCCATGTGTCTGCACTATTTCGGAAGGGGCCGCTGGATACTGCCAACAGTAAGGATCTCTAAAATGTCAGCAATACAGCCTACTTTTACAGTGTCATCATATAGAAGCAGAACCCACATTAGTGCTGAACTGTTGTGAAAGCCTGAAATCTTCTATAAAACAGCTATTATGTTTCCAATTTAAATCTGAATACTTTAAGGGTACCTTTGTCAACTAATGCTGGACACAACAATAAAGTTGGTAACAAACTAACAATGCAGTATTTTATAATGCCACAGCTGTGGCGTCAGTAGTTCTCTGTTGTGCCTGCAACTGATAGCAAAACTTCACTAAATTCTATCCCTGTTAAACTATGCATTATATCAGAAAGCAACATTTTGCATCATGTATAAAATGTGCACACAAAATCAAGCTATCAGTCAGCTTTGTGTATTAAAAAGAGATCTTGTTAAATAACACCACAAAAAGGGCCAAATCATTGGGTGTCTTTGACACAACAGACTTGACATGAATTCTTACCTTGTTTAATTCAGTTAAGTCCCTCTTATTTAATGGCTCACTTAATAACAGTAACATAGTAGCATCACTTTAATATGTACATGATAAGAGTGCTGATGCAGCCATAATAATGGATACAATGATTCCTCTGAAAGGAATCTATACAATATAGTAGCATATTTCTAACAGGTTATAATACAATGTAACAATGAAGGCATCATGTGTATAAAAATATCATTAGCAATTGGTTATTCACAGTAATGAAATATCTGAACTGAAAAGATTTTCTGATATGACCCTTTGAAGCATGAAAAATGGATGTCTATTTTCAGGTTTCTCCTAATGAATGACATGCATGATTTTTCTGCTTCATACAGATAAGAACTGAAATAGTGTTCCCTGATCACACAAGATAAGATAAACATGTTTCTGAAGAAGTCCAATTTGGAACTGGTCTAAGAATTTTGGATAGCAAAATCAAATAGCTAAAGGAAGTAACTGACATACACAAACCATGCTTTTTAAGTCAACCTGGTGCTTAATTGGAGGAGTTAGACCCTGCTGTAATATTATCCCTTTCCATTCCTGCAATGTGGAAGGTTGACCTCTCAAACACTACAATAACAATTCTTACTTGAAATCTGAACAAACGTTATGAAATAATACAGCCCATGATTTATGCTGCTACTGAGTTGGTCATATCAACCATGATGAATTTTAGAGCCCCTTATATCTGTATTTTGTATACGAAGTGATGGCAGCATGTTAAACCACCTGCATTTTCTCCATTGGGATTATATATAGTATGTTATACAGTGTTTATATTTAACTGTGCAGTGTCTTGTAAACTGAACTGCTGTATAATGAAAATACTGAAACCTAAACCAACAGCAGCTGCTGTAGTAATTACTGGCAAAAGCAAAGTACAGAGACTGGAGTAGTTATGAAAATAAGGCACCTTCTAAGAACCACAAAATGCAGGTATTCTACAGAACATCTAAAATCCAAACATATAAAAGTTGCCATAGTTAAAAACTAACCGTAACAAATTTTGTAGTCTTTTTTTACAACATATTAAATCCTCATATTACATGAAAATTTGAATGCAGTGCCATCACCTCATATGTTTTGTACACTATAAATGTACAGATGAAGAAGAGTTATTATGAGGTATCCCATAGTTCTTCTAAGAGCACAACATGCTAACAGTCTTACTAGGAAGCCCTTAGTCATAGTTGATCTGAATACTAGGTAACATGTGAGCAGCACTAAATAGTTTCCGAGTTTAGCAACACGGAAGTGAGCAAAAGAAAGATGCATGTTTAGCACCTCCAAGTTAAGTCTGAGAAATAAGGACAATTTCCTCCATAGTATAATTATGTGGAGGAAATAACCTTCTTGGCACAGCCATGCTGTAAAAGTACCAGGACTTTGGGTAGAACAATAAAATGACATTTGAATGTCCTATAACAAATGAACACAGAACTTACATGTTCTTGGACATTAAAGTATCAAGCTTCTTCCCACATATTGCCTGGGTATTGACATAACAGGCCAGATTCAATCAAGATACCTGATTTCTGACCAGTGTTTAAGGATGGTTAACATTAAACTTCGTCAGGTGCTAATTCTTGGGATAGGGCCATAGGAGGAGAGGTATGGGTATTGTTGAGGGTCTCCAACGTTCCTCGGGGTGGTTGGCCTACTCCAAGGCCATCTCCCACTCGTCCTTCCTCTCCCCCATCATTCCCTGGAGCGGGTGCTGCACTCAAGCGAGCCTCAAGGGCTCTAATGCGACATTCATGTTTCACAATCACAGCTTTAAGTTTTCTGATTTCTTCATGAAACTCCTCCAGGAATTTATCCTGAAATCATATGAATGTGAATAAATAATGATAATAATCACTTTTTTTTGTAGTTCAAATGTATATTAATTTCATTTCATATTGTGCGTACAGACCTGCTGCTAAGCAATGAGTCTGTAAACTGCGGCTGTTGGTAGGTAACAACCACAACAACAGAACAACAGGTTTTTCAACCTATTTCTAAGCAATGGCTCAGTAAACAAGTTCCTGCAGAAATGAACACGCACAACAATAGAAGAGTGGTGTCTCGATGTGGTCATCCATGCCAATAAGTTATCTTGAAGACAAGTTGATCAGTTCAGTTGAACCCAATGCCTGGGGGTATAACTGGGCCACCCTGTTCCTGGGGGATATAAATATGCGGACCTGGCCCTCCAGGTTGGGGGAGTCTCGAATCAGAGTAAAATATGGTCATGGGCCTGCAGGACTCGGACCTGAGAATGACTGCGCCGACAAGGGTCAGCAGGAACTGTAAATGGCACACCAGTCCTCTCATCAGAAAAAGCAACATTAACAAACCGATAGTTGTCTGACGGCAATAAATATCTGGTTGTAAGCCCCAGATGTGTGCTTTATTCCAAGACAAACTGGCCGACCGACCATCAGTCGTAACATGACTTTGACTTTGACACTTCAGTTGAGTGAAGTGAAGTCAGTTGGTGAGTGAGAAAGTTCAGTTGCAGAATATTTGCTGGACAGTAATGATGTGAGCACAGAAGCTGAAGAATCTCAATTGCTGAGATCTCTTGCCAGGAAATAACTAGTGAAAGCAAACAGAAGACAAAGTGTGGAGCTCAGCAATAGCACTGTAATTACTTGTAGTTCTGAGTGCTGTGTATAAGGGTGTCAATAAAGTCAGTATCCAATCCGTACCCTGTCTACATTCACACTCTTAAATCGTGACAGTATATTTTAAACACTTAAAAAAATCACATTTAAAGCAACTCTGTGTCAAAACTAACCCTTTAGAGCATAGGGGTTACTGTATGTACTACATGCTTCAGCATTAAAAAAATCTGGCCCACACAGTTTAAATGTTTATGTGTTTTATATGATTCTCTGAATGAATAGTGATTAGGTCTCTAAGCAGAATTATCTGGTTGGTTTTTGTAATGGAGACATGCAAGGTGTGTTCAAAAAGTTCCCATAATTTGCTCTACTTAGAGCTTCAGGAATACAAAAAAGTCGGGAGGGGCGAGGTTGTAGAATGGTAAGAATTGAGTATCTTGCCAAGAACTATCTACTCATAATTGACAACGCTGTGTAAGCTGGCATTATCGTGATGGAGGAACCAGCATCTTGTAGTCCACATTTTAGGTCGCTTCTTTCCATATCACATCGCACAAACATCTCAGAACCAGCAGATAACAATCTTGATTACCTGACCTTCAGGAGTGAATTCAGAATGCACAATGCCTCGATGATAAAAAAAACAAGCAGCACTGCTTTCACTCATGAGTGCACCTGTCGTGATTTCTTGGGATGAAGGACTGTTGTTTGGTTTCAACATCATAACCATAAATCTATGTCTTGTCACTGGTAATGACATTTTTCAAAAGATTTTTGTCATTTGATCTCTGGAGGAGATCATCATTCAAGAGTCTTTGCACAAATTTTGCGAAAACCAGTGCATTCCTAAATCTTGTTAAAATTTTGTGTCATGAACCAATGGATATTCCAGCTTCTTCTGCAACTTCTCAGACGGTCAGTCGACAATTTCCACAGATTTTTTTTGCCTGGGCAATCAGGGTTTCAAATCCTGAAGCTGAAGGTGGGTCAGATCACACACTGTCATAAGTTCTTCCATTCTTTAATCGGTTGACTCGAGACATCATCACCGTAAGCTTCATGCAACATGTGGGTTTCTACACCTGTTTCCCTACTTTGAAACAGAATTTAACACAAATTCCTTGCTCCTTTACCGACTCCATACTGAATGTGACAACACAATCAAAACCGGTTATAAAAACTAAACCAGATGTCCACTACTTGGAACAAATTGGCATGTGTAACTAATGGTCAGGTTGCAAGTTCACTCAAACACCTGATGTGACTGATGCTCTGCTGCTCTGTGCCCTCATTTCTGGAACTTTTGAACAAACCTCATAGTATGACTCCTGTGAGGGAGGAACTGTGTGTTCAAATATTAGTTAAAAGAAACTGATGCTTCAAAGGGTTGAAGTCAGTCTGTCACAAATTTTCTTCCAATGATTGAAGTTTTCAAAATAAACTTACAGTGTACATATCCTTCACAGGAATGTTGTACTCTAGTAAATAATACCAATGCTTATATGAGGTGCTATCACAAAGTTCCCAGATTAGGTCAAAAAAGAAATGCTGGTTCAATTTACTCAATTTTGGCTGCCATTTCCTTCAAAATAGTCTCCTTGGGAAAATATACAGTGATCCAATCGTTTTTCCCACGCTTCAAAAGCACCGTGGAAGTCCTTAATGCTGTCAAGTACCGCTTGCAATTCCTTTTGGATGTCAGACACTATTTCAAAACGTCGTCCCTCCAGTTTCATTTTGGGAAACAAAGTGAAATCACAGCAGGGTAAGTTCGGCACATGGGGAGGATGGGGAACGATAACCACATTGCTGTTAGTCACAAATCTGTGGTTTTCAGGTATATGTGGGTGGGCGCATTATCAATTTGAAGGAGCCAGTTGTGGCTGCGCCAAAGTTCCGGTCCTTTTCATCGCACATTTTATCTCAAGCATCTGAAAACATCACAATAAAATCAGAGCTAACCGTAGTGTTAGAGGGAACAAATTCATGGTGAACAATCCCCTTTACATAAAAACAACAATGAGCATGCTCTTTGTGGAACTCTGGATATGCTGAACCTTTTTATGCTCTTGGTGAGTGTGGGCTCTTCCACTGCGATGATTGTTGCTTGTTTCTGGATCATAACCATATATCCAACTTTCATCACCTGTTATGATCCTAGAGACAAAAAGTGGGTTCTTGTTAGCCTTCTCTTGTAGTTCAAGACACGTTTTTGTTCTGCTACTTTTGATCATCTGTCAAGAGTCGGGGAACAAACTTTGCAGCAATGCACCACATGTTCTCAGTAACTGATCCCAGCAGTGTCTGCAAGCTCATGGATTGTTCAGCAACAGTCTTTGTGGATGAGTTCTCAAATTTTTTCACCACTTTCTGTCGTTTTACTTGTGCTTGGTCATCATCTTCAACAGACACTTGACCGGCCTTGAAACGTGAATGCCATTCAAAAACTGCTGTCTGGCTTAAAAAATTTGTCCAAAAGCCTCACGAAGCATTTCAAAGGTTTTGGTAGCAGATTTACCGAGCTTCACACAAAACTTGATGCAGACACATTGCTCAATTTTGCCACCCATCCAGACAAATGAAACAGGAAGTAAAAAAAAAGGTCTTGTAAAAACAATGCATGTTCACATCACAGTGTCAGGTGGCAGACTGATGCAAAATTTCTGAAGTGTGACCTTGGCCTCCTCTCTGATCTTTCTTCGAGGCAGTTACAACAGTAACAGTCTGGGAACTTTCCAATAGAACCTTGTACACTGAGGAATATGCAGTGTTTACAATTTCTCATATAAAATTATGAACCTGAAACAAAATACAAATACAGTGGATGCTGATTATTGTGATCACTACAGGACACAGCTTAACAGATAACAATAACTGATGAAACAAAGATGCAGCATTTCAACATTGTACATTGACTCAGAGGAGAAATGTGTACATAAAGAAGTGGATGTGGACAAAAAGAAAACATTAAAATCAAGCAATATAAAATATCTCAAGTTTACTGTTCACTATTTCGTCAAGAAAGTCATCAATAAAAATGAAACTGTCATACTGTTTCTAGAAATGCAAACACACCATTACAAACAGAAAATATTAAAATAAAAAATTTGACATTTTTTTAAAGATGATTGTGTGTTGTCTTTTATGAGACCATTCACATTCATGTCAGCTCAGGAACTAACCAGGATATTACATAATCACCGCCACTGCACATGCAATAAGGCAGAAAAGAAATAAAAAAACTGAAGTGTTGATTACAGTAAATGTTGTCTTTTTCTATGTATTTGTATATGTCTGACTGGGAATTCATAGACGTGATAACAGCACATGCATGAAAACATTACACAAGATTACAATAGTCAGCATCCACTGTATAATGGATAATGTTATTGCATATCACCTGAAAGCCTCAATTTTTTTTCTGGAATTCAGTATATCTCTTACTGATGCAAGATGGATTAGTTTCTCTTTCCTTAGAAGAGTTTATTTTCCATGATGTATTGCCAAAATCACAGAATGTGAATGGTATTATGATATCATGGCTGCCTATGACTTTCAATAGTTTCCCATGAAATGAATCCAGAAATCACTGACATGCCAAGTATCTAAACTTGGGTAAAATACCGTTTGTTGTAGCAGTACTACACTGCAGCTAATGTAAGGTTAAATACTTTAGTATTTACTCATTACTGGCCCTAGGCACAGATTGAAGGATGATGTTAATACAGGTTACAGAAACAGGATGGGACGATATGGATTGAATTCATTTGGCTCAAGACAGAGAGCAATGGCAAGCCCTTGTGAATGCAGTGATGAACCTTTGGGTTCCATAAAATTCTGGGAATTTCTTAGTAAAAAAAAGTAAAGTAAAACCATCCCTGTAACAGGCCGTGAAGGCCCATACGGTTGTGAGATGTTGAGGGTCCCACATTATCTAGACACTCTGCTCAAAGATGGTGGTAAGGTTGTCAGCCTTATGCGCTGGCCGCACTTTACTCCCCAAGAAAATTATTTAATTAATTCCTAGTACTCATTTCTGTTAGAGGCTGAGTTGACCCCAGGACCATAGTGCAGCTGGAAGGATTAGGTCAATTGAAGAAAATCCAATGACCTCATCGGGACTTGAACCCGCAACCTTCCGGCTTGTAGAATAGCCCCTCAACCAACTACATTACCGCATACCCCCGGGAATTTCTTAGTAAACTGAGGAACTATTAGCTTCTCAAGATGGACTCTATTCCATGAAGTTAGTTACTATTGGATACTCAGAAAACTGTGTGTAAGGGAATTGAAGTAGGGGCCATTCTCCTCCACATCTATTGTATTTCTCCCTTGAAGAAAATTCTTTTTTTCTCTCTGCTGCTGTTCCAGCTTAACCTTTCTATGACCCATTCTGTGAATTATTCATACCTTAATCCCTACAGCTAGAACTTGATTTACTACAGCAATTATTAATGTGCACTGATGATGCTAATTTAATAGGTAGGAACATACATGCATTATGAAAAACAAGGTAATTCTCTAAACAAATAGGAAGAATGTTAATTGAGAAAATATAGCTAGGAAAAGGCAAGTGTACATTTACGTCCCATAACCAGGAACAGCGTTGAGTCACAATACAAGGTCATCAAAAAAGAACTCCCTACTTCTAAAGTTTAATATCACATTTAATTTAAGACATAATGATGGGCTTTAATCTGAAGTGTTCAACAAGTCACAAACTTTGCATTCATTTCCCACTGCAAATGTGCAGATGCATATACACTCATCTCTCTCTGTTGTAAAACTGTGTGCCTGTAGCAATCAGTACAGTGGTGTTCATTCAGGAGGAAGCCAAATGCATCATATAGTTGGCTGAATTCAATATGATTGTTCACCACACTTTTTGACATACATATAGGAAAATGCCTCCAAGCACAAAATAAATTTTCCACTGATTTACTCTATGAAAGCAAACAAGCATATTGAGGCAAAAAATACCAGGAAGAACATGGGCTTCAGAAGAGATGTTGTACACATATGAGTATCATGTGTACAGGGTTCAAAGAAATCTAATGCTCATCAGAATATCCTGCTGGTATACCTGAAACCAGTATCCAGAATGTGTTGCATAAGTGTCTGAGATTACATGGTTACTAAATTACAATGAAACATGAACTCAGAAGACACTTAATCTTCTAAAGTGAGTCAAATTTGCAGATTTCAAGTTAAATGAAATTAAACTGACAAATATTTTGTAAAATTTCACATTAATAAAAAAAAAGTAAAGCTACCCCTGTAACAGGCCGTGGAGGCCATAGGGTTGTGAGATGTTGAGGTTCCCACATTTTCTAGACAGTTGGCTCATAGATGGTGGCAAGGTTGTCAGCCCTACGCAAGAATATTCCTGGTACTCATTTCTGTTAGAGGCTGAGTCAATCCCAGGGCCATAGTGCAGCTGGAAGGATTAGGTCAATTGAAAAAATCAAACGACCTCATCGGGATTTTAACCTGCAACCTTCCGGCTTATAGCATAGTGCCTCAACCAACTACACTAGCGCATGCCCCGATTTGACATTAATGACTCTGTTAATTGCCACAACTGTTGAATCTGGGTAGCAGAACAGCCACAGGGAAGTTTTTAAGTATGCATACGTGATACAGACTTCCAAATGACAGTGTGGTAGTAACCAGACATGCTTTGTCATACCTGGGAAGCAAATGAATACTACTACCTGAATGTCTGAAGTGCTACAAATGGCACTCACATTGAGACCTATTAAGGATGTCAAAAAAACTTGAGTTCTCCAGATATTTAAAAAAATACTTTGTTCTGTTTCATATTTCAGAGTTACTGCATCTTGAAATTAGGGAAATTCTTTCTTGATTACCCTACATACGAAGTGTGTTCAGGAAATAACGGGAATTTTAAAATTTCGCGGGTTTGGAGAGTCCAATTGTCAAAATTTTTTTTTATTATGTTGGTATACATGCCCCTGAAGTACAATAAAATTTTCAGCTGTATTCATTGCTTACTTTGTCTGTGGCAGCCGCTAAGGTTAGACGTGTTTTTATGAGCTTGGCGATTTTCGTTTGTTAAAAGAAATGGATCAAAGAATTTGTATCAAATTTTGCGTAAAAAATGAAATAAAGTGTTACAAAGTGTGTGAAATGTTAACAAAGGCCTATGGTGAGTCTGTTATGAGTAAAACAAGAGTTTACGAGTGGTATAAGCGTTTCCAAGATGGCCGTGAAGACGTTGCAGATGACGAGCGCCCCGGACGCCCCAGCACATCAACAACCGATGAAAACGTGGAAAAAGTGAAAGCAATGATTATGAATGATCGCCGAATCACAATCAGAGAAGTTTGCGTGAGGCAATCCGAAAAAAACGCCCGGATTTGTGGAAAAACAATTCATGGCTTTTGCACCACGATAATGCACCTGCTCACACTTCGTTGCTTGTTCGTGAATTCTTGGCCAAAAACAATACTGTAACGATGCCCCAGCCTCCATATTCGCCAGACATGGCTCCGTGTGACTTTTTCCTATTTCCAAAAATAAAGAGAACCTTAAAGGGCCGTCGTTTTACAAGCATAGATGACATTAAAAGCGCATCGCTGAAAGAGCTAAAGGCTATCCCAAAAATCGAGTTTGAGAAGTGTTTCGATGATTGGAAGAAGCGCTGGCGTAAGTGCATAATATCGAATGGGGACTATTTTGAAGGCGACAACATTAATGTAGACGAATGAATAAATATTTTTTCCAAAATACGGAAATTCCCGTCATTTTTTGAACACACCACGTATGAGCTGCTAATAAACTACAACTTTTCTGACATTTTATATGGATGTGAAACTTGATCACTCTGAGGGAAAACTGAGACTGGGAATGTATAAGAACAAAGTGTGAATGCTTGAACCTAAGTGAGGTGGGGTGACAGTAATCACAACTTCCAGGTTTCATAAGAACAAGGAAATTTCTGCATGAGATTTGAGGTTCTCATAGCGTATCAGAATTATACAAGTATCTTGTGGGGTCTGATGCTGTATAGCCTGGTACAGTTGGTAATCCCAGGAGATCATAATCTTAAGGTAATTTCTTGATAATACGAACAACCATCAATTACTCGTGCTTGAGGAAGACCCTGTACGACAGAATCAATTACTTACAAAATCCATTCTTTACTCATTTTCCAGTGACACCCGTATTTGTTTCTCGATGATCCTCAGAAGGCTTCAATTATGAACTTACAATTCTTAATATTCAAAGCTCCCTCACAAGGAAATAATACACATTTGTTATGGGCAGAACAGAATATGCCTATGCAATCTGCACAAGTGAATAAATGAGAGTAAACATCTAAGAGTTTCAGTTTTGAGTAATGGGGAAGCAAACTGACTATTTAATAAAGAAAAATTCCCAACCAATTTTAATATTTAATGAAATAACTCACAGGTAACTGTACTGTAGCAGCTACAGCTGCAGGTCCTGCAGATATTCCTGTGCTCCCTGAACCACCCCGTGATCCTTTGGGAGGCATCTTGTCTAGGACATTGGATCGCCGACTCACTTTCAGATCAGACTTTTGCGTGGATGGGACATAACCTTCACGTAAGGATATGAGAACTGGTTCTGCATCTTTCCCTGCAATCCATTCTTCTGCAGAGATGGCTGGCTGATCCCCTGCAGTGTCGGGGTATAAATCTTCTTGGAACAGTTCTGACTGTAAATTATCAAAACCTTTATGTTATTACAAGACTTCATATACAGGAAAGAAGTTTTAAAGTGAATGAGTATCTGCTGTATAAAATTCCTCTGTATAGTGTACAAATTAAAAAAAAACTTATCAAATTATCCTTCACAAGTAGCGAAGAATGTGTTTGGCCATGAAATATGAAGTTTAATTTCTGAGATGATCTAGGTCAGGATAATTAATGGCAGACCATACATAATAATATTGTGACATGATGCCTGAAAGCCAGAACAGTGGAGCCAGATCGGAAGTCCACTGCTAGGCAATGTTAGACATAGAATAATCCATTTGCTGGTGAATGGTTCAGTAAGCATGTTCCCGTGGCAACAGATAAAACAGAATAATAGAGGAATCGTTTGAGATGGTGATCTATATTCAGGTCACCAGTAAGTTAATTCAGTCAGGAGAGTTCAGTCATTTGGCATTCGTAAGGGAGTCATTCATAAGACAGTCGTCGCTCAAGTCAGTCACAGTGGAACAGAAGACATTCATAGTTCAGTAAGGAATGGAGCAAGTCTTCGACAGTCATTGATTATGAGCTGTTATAATTGATTGTAATTATAATAGAATAAATGCAATCCAGAACCTGCTATATTCGTCACGCAAACCCCTCATATGTGACAATATTGATATTCTTCTGGTTCATTCACATTTTAATACTGAAATAACTTACAGAAAACAAGTAGATCATTTGAAAGGTGTAGGTACTGTACAGAGTTTCAGTGCGAAGAAAATGTGACAACACTGTGACTTCAAGACATGTTCTGGGTGGCAATTACCTCATAACTTTCTGATGTAACAAAGAGTCATTTGCATAGTCAAGAAATAACATGTTCAGTATGGCAGTGACTGAGGTGACTGGTTAGATCTTTTGTCTTCAGGTCTGATTTCCATTACTCTTTCAATGAGGTATATGATTCAAGAGTAAGTTTTCATAACAAGGCTACAGGCTGGATGGCCAAGATACCAAGTTTCAATTCCTTCCAAGGGCAATATTATTTGGGGGAGGGGGGATCCAGGGTGCATTTTAATTACACTACACTGAAATTTTCATAAAATTTGGTGTACTGAAACATTTTTCACAAAGACATGGGAGTTGGTGGGGGATTGGCAACATTCTCATTGTGCTGGGTAGTTCATTATTCTGGCATTTGTTTCACATCCCTTTAAATAGATACATCTAAAAGAATTTGATTTGTTTCATTCTGGTCCATCACACTAATAATAGTACGAAAACTTAAATAGTTCCATCCAGTGTGACTGGTTAAGATTTTTTTTTTTTATTTCAATTATTCATGCCCTTAGATGTTTTGGTCTTCATAGACCATCTTCAGAGGGACACCTTTACATCAATACAGTTAGAAGCCACCATTACAGTGCATGTTCTAAAATTTAGAAAAAAAAATATATATATATACAATATAAATAATATATAATGTATATAACATAATAATATATAATGTTTCCTCTGGAGACAGAACAAACCGGAAGGGCAGGTAGAAGTACCCAGACGATGAAGAAGACGGAAGATGTTGGATGATCTTGGAGACAGAAGAGGATATTTTAATTGAAGGAGAAAGCTTGAGATCACATTAAGTGGAGGAACTGTTTTGGAAGAGACTGTGGACCTGTTGTCTGACAGATTACTGATGAATGAATGAGTGAATAATTGGGTGTAAAATATAGTCTTTACAATTACAGCGGCTTTTCCAATATATTAAAATATTTATCGTTAGTTTGATAAGATTATATTAGAATTCGTAAATCCAGCTGGGTTGTGTCATCCCTCTTATTATTTCTTTTTGACGGGGACTGAATATGTGCCACCTTGTCGTTCTCGAGAAGAGGGTTCTTTAATGTTGTACTGTATGTGTTTGTGGCCCAATTGTATATTATTTATATTGTATGTATATATTTTAACTTTTAGAACATGTACTAATAGTGGCTTCTAACTGTACTGATGTAAAGGTGTCCCTCTGAAGATGGTCTCTGAAGACCGAAACATGTAAGGGCGTGAATAATTGAAATAAAAAAAATCTTAACCAGTCACACTGGACGGAACTATTTAATTTTTCATAACATCTAAAAGAGATTACATACCTTCCTTGGCACTGTCATAGTAATAACTTGACAAAGACCAGAGTTGTTAAGCCTGTAGAAACGTGTTATTTCACAACTGTTGACATCACAACCCCTCTTGGGCATCATACCAATGCCCCTCTGAGGATCTGGTGTTTGGAACGTGTTGATATAGTGCACAAAAGGTGGTTCTGCTGTGATTTCAAAATAACGAATTACACTATCACCCTAGAACAGATAGAAAATAATTGAAAGGATTGCTACTGTATGACTACAGGCAAGTGAAACTGTCAGTCTTCATAAAAATACACATAACTCTCCCATAATCATACACTATGCACAAAAAAGGTCCTCCATAAAGTTAAAATTTGAGGAATTAACTTTTGAACTGAATTATATATTTAAACTAAAGTGTATGTAAATGTATCATATCTTGCTGGAAACAAGCCTTCAGTCAACTAGTGCCCCAAAAGAGCCCTTCTAAGATATGACTTGCCTAATTCTCTTTCCCATTTATATATTTTTGGTATATTTAATGACATTGTCAGCAACTCACACTCTACAGAAACTTTCGCTAATCTGGAGTAACAGGGAAGAGGTCATCCAGATTAAGCGATAATCCAGACTGGTGAAGCAAAAGGTGACCCTAAAAGACAAAAGAGCTTAGAATACAAATAAATAGAAAATATAATGATATAAATAGTACTGATGAAAATAAATAAAAAATATCACTGTAGAGCCTTTATTTAAAAACTACAAGGTGGTTCAAATATGACCAGGACTGATTTTTTTTAAAACAATAATTGACAAACACTTACTTGCACATGTCAGTCTTCAACATACTCCCCTCCAGAGTCAACACATTTTTTCCAATGTTCTGGAAGCATCCTGATGCCCTTTTCAAAAAAGGCTTGTGGTTGGTGGCGCATCCACTCCTGAACATTCTGGATGACAGCATTGTTCACACACCGCATGCCTTGGAAGTCTGATTTGAGCCTTCCAAACAGGTAGAAATCACCTGGGGCCAAATCGGGACTGTACAGCAGATGTGTCAGAAGGTTCCATTTAATTTCCGGAGGGTTTCCATTGTTTTGGGGGTATGGGGGCGTGCATTGTCTTGAAGAAAGACTACCCGCTTTCCACCTGTCTTCTGCTTGGATTGGAGCTTTTCCTTCATGTCTGTTGCCAAGAGGTCTGAGTAATATGCTGCATTGACTGTTCTGGCATCTGTCAGAAAGTCCCTGAAGAACGATGCCATCACTTTTCCTGCCGAACAGCTCCTCCATGCTCTCTTGGGTTTGGGAGAACTGGTATGCCGCCACTCACGTAATGACTATTGGGGCTCAAGAATGAAGTAGTGCACCCACATTTCATTGGTGGTCACTATAGACTTCAAAAATGCATCACCTTCATCTTCAAACTGCTGTAGGAGACTACTGGCACCTTGCACGCACACCATTTTGTTCATGTCCGTCAAAGTGCGTGGTACCCACCGTGCATTCACCTTACGATAGTGTAGGTGGTATTTCACAATGTCTTCTACACTACCAACACTGATGGACAGCATTGCTCCAAGTTCCTCTATAGTGATATGCCTATTCTCACAAATAAGTGCATCTGCACGATCAATGTTTGGCTCGGTGATGGATGTTCGAGGCCGACGATCATGCGGTTCATTCTCCATGCGCTGTCTGCCCTCTCTGAAGCACTTACACCACTCAAACACAAGGATCCGTGAGAGACACTCTTCCCCATACTGTTGTTGGAGTCTGTGGTGAATTTCAGCGGACGGGACGTTTTCTCCAACGAGGAATTTGATCACAATGCGTTGTTCCACGCTCCGCGGTACCTTCTGTTCACTCATCACTCTAGCAACTTCCAGACAGGACTGAACAGGTTCTAACCCTAACAGGAGGGAGGGTGGAGGTTGTGGCTTCACTCTCTCAAGATCACACAACTGCTGCGCAGTGTGGCTTGTTTACATGCAAATCAGTCCTGGTCATATTTGAACCACCTTGTATAAAAAGGCAATACATTTATTTGCTGATACAAGACTCAGAAGTTGTATTTGTTTTTATCATAGTAATGCTGGTTTAAAGAAACTGTAAAGTTTTGTCTGAACAGACAAGTGACTTATCTGCCTTTTTTTTATTGCTAGTGGGGTGGGACTAAGTCCCTTGTACTGCGGCCACTTCTGGCCTATTGTACCAGCCCCAGATGATAGGTGAGGGTGATTGTGGAGCAATTGGTGTAGTGAAGTCTGGCAGGGAAAACCGAAGTACTCAGAGAAAACCTGCCCCAGCGCCACTTTGTCCACCACAAATCCAACTTGACCAGACCCGGGATCGAACCTGGGCCACCATGGTGGAAAGCCAGTGACTGACCGCTTGAGCTATGGCACGGCCTATCTGCCTTCCTAAATGCCATGTGTCTTTTAAAGTATGTACTCAGCTGTGAACAAGGGCACGCGGTAGCATAGTTGGTTGAGGCACTATGCACTGTGTTCAAGTCCCGATGAGGTCATTGGATTTTTTCAATTGACCTAATCCTTCCAGCAGCACTATGGCCCTGGGCTCAACTCAGCCTCTAACAGAAATGAGTACCAGGAATATTCTTGGAATGTTCTTGGGGCTAAAGGACAGCCAGCACGTAGGGCTCACAACCTTGCCATCATCTACGAGCCGATTGTCTAGAAAATGTGGAAACCTCAACATCTCACAATCCTATGGACCTCCATGGCCTGTTACAGGGATACCTTTACTTACTTACTCAACTGTGAACAGCACTACTCATTTTTTCATATTTTGATCTGGATTATCGAGGGTTTACTGTATAGTGTTGAATGATAAAATGAGCAATGACTTGGTAAGAATGTGAAGGAATTAGATCTGAAATACTATTCTGACATTTTCATGAAGGAACTGAGGAAAACCACAAAAGCAATCTGGTTTCCAGTGTCTGGATTAACATATGAACCCAGAACTTCCCAAATACAAAGCAGGAGTGCTATCCACTTGACTATGTTGTTCAGTCCCCAGTGACAGTTAATGCTAATCTAATATGTATACAACATGCTAACAGAGATTCAATTTTATTTTCATGGTACTATTTGGATTTCAAAATTAACATTACTTTATGCCTTGTAACAACCATCCTAGAACTAATAAATCATTCTCTCCCCATTCCAGTCTTTGGCGTAATCAAATCTGAACATCTCCAGTACACTTTACTAGAATACAACTATTATGTAAGTTCCAAAATCAGGCATGTTGAACATCTGAATCAGACTGCTTAAAAATGATGGTAGCTACTCCACACACAGTGTAAGCTAAATGAATACTCAGCTGTCCTGCAGTTATGAAAAGCATAACTGAACATTATGTTTCTATTACTTGTGTTTCATACTCTCCAAAACATTCCATAATTTGTAAATAATAATGTGTTACATATGGTTGCATGGTACCTTGAATAGTTATAAAGAAGCTTCACTACATACCAAAATAACATGTAACACTGAATGCTTACACTAAACAAAATAATATCCCTTCTGTACCCCAAAGAGATAACACTCTTCAAAAGTTAGGTCTGAAGAGATGATCAATAATGCACATGTATATCCTTAGGAGGTTTTCAGAGTCACAGCATAAAACCTTTTCTATATTTATATAATAGAACAGACTGTAAAGATACATATATCTGAAAATGTCACTGCACTCACAAGGCAGCAGCATTTAATTTTGGCATGTTCACAATGAAACGAAGCAAAAATGTGCCAATTGGCTTTGCCACTGTCACAAGTCAAAAACTGCTCAACATATCTTCCTGAAATTTTATACTGGGGAGGTTTACTACAGTTTATCAATACATGCCTATTTTGGTTAAAACTGGACAATAACAAACACTAAAGAAACATTATACATGAAGACCTACATACTTTTTGTATACATCTCAACTTCCACTTGCTAAATAATTATTGGAACCAAAATTATTTTGAACTATGCTGCAGGAAAACATGGAACACATTTTTATGTGCACTTCTTCTCTCAGGCTTATGATTTCTGTGATTAAACAAAAGTGGGTGAATGAGCCAGATTGGTTATAGTATGGTACATTTCCAAACTTGTTTCAATCATAAGCATCAGTAACTCTTAGAAATCTTCCCTTATATACATATACATATTATCATCATCCACAGCATAAAATAAGTGCCAGATAGCTCTAAAAAAAGCAATCCCTCAATTCACTCGTACACTAACCGAGAAATCTAGCTGAGTATATAGACAAAATAGCTAGTATTTTTTGCATGACTATACTGTATTTACTCGCATAATGCTTGCCTTTGAATATTTCACACATTTACTGTCAGTCTAGATCTGATTAGCAATATTCCATTTTTATATCAATCATGCACACATAGTTAAAGAGCCTTACAGGCATTAGGTTGCCCCACAAGTTACAGAGCCCAGATATTTCCAAACTTCACCTGCAGCATCTGCCATACAACTGTTGTCTATTCGGTATTCATATCTAGCATCTGTTCACTGACAGGAAAATTGTAGCAGCTTGAAGAGAATTGAGATTTCATAATACTCTGTGGTGAATAAAGTGAAATATTCTAGGTATACAGCAATTTTCAAATTAAAGGTAATAGAATACATAGAAAAACACAACAACAAAGTGACCAGTCATGAATCTACCATGTCAGAATTCAATTGTGCACTACTGGAGGAAGCAGAAAAATGTCCTTCTACAAACTACCAACAAACCCTCGGGGGCTGAAATGTGGAAAATTTCCTAACTTGAAGATGGGAAAGTCAAATATGTTAGAGCAGCCTTTCTCAACATGGATTCCCTGGAACCCTACGGTTCTGCAAAAGGTCACAAGGGGTTCAGAGAGAGAACATAAAAAATATATATATAAGTAAATAAAAAATAAACATCATGTTTTCACATTCACACTTGCATGTTTATATTAATAATTATCACTAAAGCTATCTATTTCCCATATTTGGAGTTTACAACTTAAATTAAAAAATAATACTGACTTATTACCTTTTCTAATCATCAATATTTTCTATGGTTATTCAGTAATTAAATGGGTTACTTGATCATTTCAATAATCTTAATACTGTAATAGTAATTAATATTTAAATTAAATGGAAACAAGTGTGCCAAAACTGAAATAAATAGTACACTGTAGTCATTTTATTTCTTCTGTGGTAATTTGC